AAGAGCATATGGGGTGGTGATGGGCCAGGGGCTCAGGCCCAGTGCCCATCTAGCCGCCCAGAGAACTGACAGCTCTGTCCAAGCAGAGCTGTGACCCACCAGTGAGCTGGGGCTCCCTGTCGGGAAGCTCTGAGCTGGACATGTATGGAGTGTACCCTGCCTCAAAGAGAACTGTAACCCTTCAGAGGCTCAACGCGCTGCGGGAGCTCAAGGAGGGAGACTCCTGGTAGAAAGAATTCCCTGCAACCAAAAGTCCAGTGGTCTCTTTGGAAGCTCGCCATCACAGCGCCCATGCCCATGCACAGTTGATCACGTGGGTCCACGGCCCAGTGACTATGATAGAGGGGAGTGCAGAGGAGTGGGGGCACAGGGAAGGAGGAAGGAACAGCAAAAGACAATATTGGCAGGAATTAGGAGGTCTCTACTTACCTGAGATTTGGAACTGGGAAATGCTGCCCCTGTCATCCACTTAGCCCTGGTTTCCTTGCAAGCTTGAAGGATCAAAATTACTGGCTGAGGACCAACTGCCACATGTACCTAAAGTTCTGGGAAACTGATTCTTGCAGCGAATACTGTTTGAGATTCAGGTAAATAAGACCCAGGGTCTGTCCTCAAGGAGCTTGCTGTGCAATGGACTCACAGCAAATGATTTTTTAAGAACGCCAGTAAGGGGCCGGCCTGGTAGCATAGTGGTTAAGTTCACACGCTCTGCTTCAGCGGCCTGGGGTTCACGGGTTGGGATCCTAGGCGTGGACCTACACACCGCTCATCAAGCCATGCTGTGGTGGCATCCCACATATAAAATAGAGGAAGACTGGCATGGACATTAGCTCAGGGACAATCTTCCTCAAAAAAAAAAAAAAAAAAAAAAAAATGCTGGTAATAAACCAGGAAGAAATGCAATTTGTTCCTCTCTGGTGCTACCCAAGATGAGAAACAGATGTAGCCCAGACTACTTTATTAGGTATTCTTCCTAAATGATATCAAGCTATACCTCTACCCAGGTAAGGCAGGGAAGACAAGCAATCCAGGAACTTTAAAATCGGCACATGAAAGCAATTTGGCGAGGCCCAGGCTGGATCTTGGGCACGTGTGTGTATCTCACTAAAGGGTTAAGTGGCCGGATATAACAGAGGGAAAATCTAGAAAACCTCTAGAGAAATATAAAATGGTCATGTACAGTAAGTCCATGCCCTACAAGTGTTCTTTTTTTTCAGTAAAGAAAAAGAAAACTGAGCAGTGACCTGACCCAAAACTTTCTGAGGAAGAAAAGCAACATTAGCTCAAGACTGAGCAGCAAGAAAAATATGACTGCATTTGCCAGATAAAATAGGAAATATCTGCAGCTGGATTACCTCTGTGTCAGTCACAAAAGGTCAGTCTACTCGCCACATAATCGAGTTTCTCAACATCAACGGAATCCCATTGTCCACATTAAGCCACCTCTTTTCTGATTCATAAGATATTTCACAGAAAAGTGAATCAGTTCGTTACTACTTAATGTAACACAAAATAAATTACATTTGTATTAATTTAAAAACAATTTCCCAGTTAAAAGGAAACATAAAAGGGTTCTAAGTGTAATTTTTAAGATGTTGGAACAAACTAAGATTTAATTTAAAATATATTTATAGTAACTACAAACGATTCCATGATTTAATCTGATCCCTTACTCCTAGTGGTTCATGGGTCCTTCAGAATTGATAAATCACTTAGCTTGTGGAAGCACAACTGAAACTCAGCACAAGGCCCTCTGGGCATAAGTGAATGAATGAAACGGAAAGAGCCATCTCAGTACTTGGTGTAAGATGCTCCTGTAGGACAAGAGACCAAGCATTGCAGCAACAGCGCTAGTTCAGGGTCTTATTCACACAGTGATGGTCAGATCTTCTGCAAATCACCTCGGTCTTTGCCATTGGGATTCAGAATGTTAATTGTCGCCCAGGAATCAGACAGTTCTTCTGGAAGATAAATACCTAAAAAATGTACCATGATCTTAGAGAAATATATTACAAAACTATGAACACTATTTACCAGCAGCATACAAGAAAAGTCGTGAGATCCAGTGGCGCCATATGCTGGCTGATCCCTTAGTTTTGACTATCTAAAACTTAAGAGAGATTTTGGTAATGACAGAATAACTAATGATAGAATAAAGACAAATTACCTTTATATCTTAGGAGTCTACATCAACTCAAGCCTAAATATCAGTATCCGGCAGTGTATATTTAAAATCTTTATTAGTATATGAGCTACCGTAAATTCTAACATCAAAATTTGTAAGATGTGTTAAGAGAACATAGAGTTACATTACGTTACATAAATACAAGCAGATGATACAAGTCTTTTCTTTCATCTTTGAAACTCAACCACATGAAATGTGGAAATATTTTTTTATCAAGTAGATAATCTGTTTTATCAATAGCTGGTAAGCCACTTTTGTAAATTGTCTTTCAGCTGAAAAAACAATACACTACTTACATCATATTGGAAAAGGAATGACCTCAAGATTTCCAAGCAACACAGCTATTTTTCACATCTGAACTCCCCTGCTGATCGTTAGGAATAGTTTCAAATGTCCCATTCTTGGCCTTCATTTGTGCCAAACCCTGGACAAGTCTGCAACAAGGTTACAGTTGAGAAACAGAGAATTTCTGCGTGGGGTGCTAAATCGTCTATCCTCCCTTTTCCTTAGCATACCACCATTCATACTAGTTTGAGGTCTCTCCTCAATTGAGCTCTGCTTATGTTATACAGAGGAAGTGTGAAATCAAAGTTATTTTGCTTCTATCTCCTGCAGGCTAATAAACTATCTCAAATTCATTGTTTTAACTGCATTTACTGTTCTGTGCTTAGAAAAGCTGTGGTCCAAACTCTGCCCTCAATCAAGGTGTGGCAGGCATGAGGCAGAGGTGAATAGGGCCCAGAAGGCTCAGGGCTGGATCAGCACACTTAAGGATGCGATAGTCTTTTGTTGGTTGGTATTTACAGAATGCATTAAAGGGGGAGGAGGGGTAAGAACTGCCTTATCTGATCTAAAATGGTGCTGTTTTCTGTATCACACTCTTACACAATTCCTAATTATCCAAAATGCTGATGAGTGAAAGACTTTTGTTTCTTTTCACCAAATAGCTGGAAATATTAAAAAGTTAAGGCAGACTAGAAATAAAACACAATTCCAGTATGTTTTAAACCAGATTTAAGTTTTTTTTTTTAATTCAAATTGACCCAAAGCAAAACTTACATTACAAAGGAAGAACAAAATACAGTATGATATAACACACTAGGAGTTACATGAAAGCTAAATTTGTAGGCAAAGGGCCTCATCCCAATCACATTCTGGGCTAATGAGCAATTCTGCAGGAAAGTTAGAATCTCAGTTTTTGTATGGTCCACTCTGGTAATTAAACTACACATTCTTGTCTCTTAGGGTGTGCATCTGACAAATCACACTAGACTCCCTCACGCTCCAGATGTGTACTCTTGCTACTGGCAGAACACTGAATTCTCTAGCGGAAATGCTGTTCCAAGCATGACTGATAATGAATTAAAAAACAAAACAGTCAAGTCCTCCAAACTAACAAGCGTGGATTATTCTGTAGTAAATAGTTTAGAAATATGAGAATTAAATAATCTAAAAAACACTCTTACTCTGCTGTACATTTATAAACACAAATATTTACACAAAAAAATTCTTCTGTTTTCAAAAGATGAGGTTTGCAGTTCATTAATGATCATAATCGTTTATGAGCTGGTTTCTTTGGTGTACTTGCCAAATATATTTTTCTAAAGGTTCAGTAATAGGCTTAAATAATAAATTTCAAAAGAAACATAGAAGGATCAGTGACAAATTTGATACTATTCTGCACATTTCAGTCAAGATTCTGGAAAAACCAATCATTTGATTTTCTGAAAATACTTGTTCTCTCTACTCATTATGTGACCACAGAATGCTTCTCTCCAAACAAATTCAAATGCGGACCTGCATGTTTATTCCCGTTTTCCACCAGTTACCAACTTCAAGACATTTTAGTTATTGTTAAATGATATGTGATTGGGATTTTATTAACAACAAAAATAAAACATTCTTTTTAAGCTTCCAGATAAATCAAACCTCAAACAATAAATAATGGAATTATATACTTCTTCATTAAATAGAAATTTCAATTCCAGGATGAGCTCTCATAATTTTTTTTCTGAAGTCACAGCAGCAATATAGAACAAAGAATTTACCTTAATCTGATCTTTTTACTTGGAATTCCCTGACTCAAACCCAGTGGCTAACTTAGTTTGGAAACCTTTGAATGGCTGGGGAAAGAAAATCATTTTAAACTAACTGAATAAATTAAAACACACATATGAGGAAATAAGCCCTGTGTGAACATAACACTAACATTACTGCTCGGAGTGCAGGACCCCAGGTGCCCTCCCATCTCCTCGTCTCCCTGGGCCTGGGGTTTTAGGGAGAAGTGACACTCAATTCATTGCTGGCCATGCCATGTCCCTGATGCTGCTCAAGTGTCTTAGCTCTGACCTGGGTATGGGTTTAAAGAATGAGAACACAGCTCAGCTCCTATCTTCACAAGGGACTCTCTCTCGGAAGATAACTTTTTGGAGGTACTTTTATGGGGAAAAAGACCATTCTAGCCACCAGACTCCAGTTACAGTTTTGGGATGGTTACAAAACTGGCCACACTTTCACTGGCTCCCTGCAAAAGAGTCTGTGTACCCCATCAGTGATCTCCCAAATCATCCTTTTTCCAAAGCTCCCCATTCTTCAGAAACATGTGCACTGCCCAGGCACAAGCAAATCAGATACTCCAATGCCATAGCCACTCTGCACCCAAGAGAACAAACTTTGTGCTTGAGAAAATATCACTGTTGGCTCTGAAAAAAGGGAAAGCCAGAGTAGACTCCTAATTCGGCTTAGTTATACTTTTCAGGTGAAAATAGTTTTATACTTAATGACTTAAAACTAGAAATTCAGACAAGAGAAGCCCTTCATCTTGTAAACTTCTGGTTAACAAATTTATTACTAGTGTGTAAATATTTTGAAATTTCCCAAAGCACTAAGAACAATACTGGGATATCTGAAAAGGTTCTTCTGAAACTAATATGATGACAAATCAAGCACAGAACATATCTCCAAGGGCATCATCATAGATCCCTGATGCCTCTGGAACCTTTTCCATTGTTGACACTTTATCATATCCATGTTTATACTGCAAACATATGCCCAATCAACCCAGAAAATAAAATAATGTCCCGAAGAGCTTCACTGTGTATAGCCTTAAAATAGATAGAAAATGTTTAATTAGCATATTAGGAATTAACCAGATTTACAAATGTGCACCCACTAGAAATTTTACTCTTTAGAAATTTTTTTTTAATTGGGAAGAAAAAAACACCATGAAACCACCTCAAATTATTTAAGCATTAAAGCCAAATGGTTTAACAATATTTTGGGCTATTTTTAGGGAATACCCTATCACCAGGATATGAAATTTTCTGCTTAAAGTGAAGTAAAAGACAAGCTTAAAATGGAAATTGTGACTGACATACTAAAGTTGTGCAATTAAAATTGAAGTGGCGGTTCCTGTTCTCACGGGCACGTCAAAGCCGGCTACAGAATGAGGAACGTCAAGTGAAATAATGGATAAAATACACCAGAAAGAGTATTGCACTGGAGGCACTGTTTTAAAAACAGAATACACTGGCTTTATAAAGTTATTTTCTTTCCCATTAATTTTTTTAAAAGCACAATTCAACTAGAGACAGAAGTTGAGACCCAATGTCTCTGGGTAGTGTACTACAGTTGTTAAAAAAATAAGTTAAAAACAAGAGCACACCAACAGGAAAGCAGAGGTACTGGATTTATGTCATCTGAAAGCTACGTTAATCAGGAGAAGAACAGTTTGAAACAGCCAATTTGTACTCATTAAGAATGAATGAGGCGACAGCACTACCTTAAAAATTTCTTAGGGCATTTTCCAGTAGAACCCAGGACTCCCCTGGGTGAAGCTGTGCCTCCAAACTCTAACAAGTGCTCTGCTGGTTTATAAGATCGTGCACGCCAATGAAACCATAAATTTGGAAAGGGTAAATTCTCCACTCCAAACCTGCTTGTGTCATTTTGGAAAAACAATTTTTGTAAATGCAATATTGTATAGAAAGCTTGGACCTCTTAAACTTGGACCAAGAAACCAAATTAAGACCTTCAAGCATGTGGTGTGTGTGTTTATATATATAAAAAAATCCCTCCCCTACAATGAAAACCAAACAAACAAACAAACAAAAAACCTAAAAGTGTATACCTGCTTTCTGACTTCACAGCAAATCAGAAATTGCATAGGATATACTTTGTGCAAGGCGAAAAGCCTTTTAAGTATCTGGAATATAACTCCTAATCTTGCTCACAGTTCTGTGTATATCAGATATCATCAAATTTGTGTTTTAAGTAGTCTTTCATGACCTTGGCAATTGGTAGTTCATCAAGTAGCTTTAGGTTTTGAAGGCCTATACATTGTCGAATTTTAATTCGGCACAGGTCCTGCAAGTTTCTGGGCTGTCCTAAAAAGACAGAAAAAAGAAAATGTTACAAAGCTACAAAGCACAATACACAAGGTGGGCTTTTAGGTTCTGAAAAGAATTGTTCATTTCACTGGGAAGTGTCTGTCTACGGACTTTACATACAAAGGATTAGAGATACTCCTACCAAGAGGATGCGTCCTGGGTAACTTCATGTGATATCTCATTTAATCCTCTTCACGACCCTGAGATGGGTGATATTTTCACCTTCATTTTACAAATAAGGACACTAAGTATGCGGATTTAAGTAAATTGCTCAATGTCAGATGACTGAGACTAAAACCAGTTCTGATTTTGAGCCTGCTATTCTTTCCATTACAAATCACAATGCCAGTTCTCATCCTGGCTAGGCCTCTGATATGCTGGGTGAACCTCTGTGAGCAAATCATTCCCTGGGCCTCAGTTTTTCCATCTTTCTGAGGGGACCGAACAGGACGCCCTCTAACATGACTCCTCCTTTCAGCTCACTGTGTAGGACACTGGAGCCTAGACATGTAAGACCATCTCTGGGGAGCTTTCCCAAAAGACATCTGCCCACCTGCTCACCGTGACTCTGGACAAAGCAGAACCTTGGCTGTCAGGATGAAGGCATCCTGGACGAGGGCGTAGACCGGGAGGGCAGGGAGAAGGGTGAAAAAAGAACCCCAAACTAGTCTGAATCTGTCTCTTCAAACCTCACACCCTGACCATCTATCTGCCAATAACCTCTGCTATAACCCAACTCAAAAAGAAAAACTACAAACTCCAATTTCTTTCACTTTCGAATACTGTGCTTTACCAAAACAATACAGATGACCACAAACACAAGCAAAAATCCTTAGCAACAGTGCCCCAGTAGCGCTTGGATTCACACAAATTCTGCTTTCATATTAAATGGTAATAATAATAAAAGATAACATATGTTCAATGCTTACTCTGTGCCAAGTATTCTTATAAGCTCTTGACATATACTAACTCGTTTAATCCTTTTATGAGGGAAGTACTTTGATCATTATCCCCATTTTACAGACTCCTTACATCTCAGGGAGATTAAGTAACATGCTCAAAGTCAAGCAGAATGCCATACTTCAGCAGTGCTCAAACTTCCTGGTCTCAAAACCTCTTTGTACTTTTAAAAATTATCGAGGACCTAAAAGAACTTCTGTTTATGTGGATTATATCTATCAATAATTACGGTATTAGAAATTAAAACAGAAATTTTAGAAATACTCATTAGCTCATTTAAAAATAATAAAAATAGGGGCCGGCCTGGTGGCGTAGTGAAGTTCGCGCACTCTGCTTCAGCGGCCTGCGGTCTGTTTGGATCCCAGGCGTGGACCTATATACCACTCATCAAGCCATGCTGTGGCGGCATCTCACATACAAAATAGAGGAACACTGGCACAGATGTTAGCTCAGGGCCAATCTTCCTCACCAAAAAATAATAATAATAATAATAATAAAACAAACATTTACATGTTAACATAACATAGTTATGAAAACAACAACAAAAAAATAGTGAGAAGAATGGTATTCTTTCATATTTTTGCAAAGCTTTTAAAGGTCTGGCGGGCATAACAGATGAGATAGTTGAATTCGCATATTTGCTTCTGCATTCAATCTGCTGTGATGAAATCACATCATCTAGTCTCTGGAAAAGTCCACTTACACTCATGAAAGAAGGAATGTGAAAAAGATAAATAATGTCTTAGTATTATTATGAAAATCATTTTGACCTCAGATACCCTGAAAGGGTCTCGGAGAACTCCAGGGGTCCCCAGGCCATGGAGAACCACTGCTATACTTAGTACTTCATCCCTTATTTGAATTATAATTATTTATAGTGATCATCATTATTCAAAATTAAGTAATTCTTCACAAATGAAAAAGTCTCCTTAAAACTCAGACCACTGTTCTGTAAAGTGTGTATGAACATGTGCTTTCCAAGAGTTAACACATGGTCTCTTAATAGAAGTACAGCAGAAGCCACTGCTATCCTAGAAATGTCTGTAAATTACGGGCATGTATGTGTTATCTGCAGATGTCTGCATAAGGATCTGTGCGTGGCTGTGACACACACACTCACATCTCTCAGCAAGATTATGTCTTCTCCATCTTCCAGATCTCTGCTAAAAGGGCACTTTATTAGGGGAGATGAGGTCAGGTGCCCATCAGATATTCAGAGCTCCTTCCCACCATAGCGCTTAACAAGGTTATGATTTTACATCTGTTTGGTGATTACCTACTCACGCCCATCTTCCTCACTATATGACATGTTCCACGAGGGCAGGACCACTTCTGGCTGCCAATGAAAGCCCAACGTCTAACACAATACTCAACAAATACTAGTTGAATGAATGAATATTTAATAGGCTTGTCCTTAAAGTATAAAACAGTCCACTCATTGCAAAACACACCCATGTCAACAGCAAATCACTTTCCAAACTGTTTTTGAATTATTTTTCATCACCATTCGTGGGCTACCATTAGGAAGAGAATAAATTATCACTGTCATTTTTCAATAAATGCTTACAAGTATTTGATCTGCAAATGAAAACCAGAATACGAATTAGATGTGAATATTCTTTTTTTAAAAGAATTTGACTTTCCTAATAGATGGCAGGTTCTTTTCAAAAAAAAAAAAATGAAAGTAGACCCTTACCTTACACCATGCACAAAAATTAACTCCAAATGGATTAAAGACTTGAATGTAAGACCTGAAACTATGAAACTTCTAGAAGAAAACATAGGCAGTTCGCTCTTCCACATCGGTCTTAGCAACATCTTTTCAAACACCACATCTGACCGGGCAAGAGAAACAATAGAAAAAATAAACAAATGGGACTACATCAAACTAAAAAGCTTCTGCACAGCAAAGGAAACCATCAACAAAACGAAAAGACAACCTAACAATTGGGAGAAGATATTTGCAAACCATACATCTGATAAGGGCTTAATCTCCAAAATATATAAAGAACTCATGCATCTCAACAACAAAAAAACTACCAACCCAATTAAAAAATGGGCAAAAGACCTGAACAGACATTTCTCCAAAGAAGATATACAGATGGCCAACAGACACATGAAAACATGTTCAAAATCACTAACTATCAGGGAAATGCAAATCAAAACTACAATGAGATATCACCTCACGCCCGTCAGAATGGCTATAATTAACAAGACAGGAAACAATATGTGTTGGAGAGGATGTGGAGAAAAGGGAACTCTCATACACTGCTGGTGGGAGTGCAAACTGGTGCAGCCACTATGGAAAACAGTATTTTTTTCCTCAAAAAATCAAGGATAGAACTACCATATGATCCAGCTATTCCACTGCTGGGTATTTATCCAAAGAACTTGAAAACACCAATTTGCAAAGGTACATGCACCCCTGTGTTCACTGCAGCGTTATTCACAATAGCCAAGACTTGGAAGCAACCTAAGTGCCCATCAAGGGACTAATGGATAAAGAAGCTGTGGTATATATACACAATGGAATACTACTCAGCCATAAGAAACGATGAAATCCAGCCATTTGTGACAACATGGATGGACATTGAGGGTATTACGCAAAGTGAAATAAGTCAGAGGGAGAAGGTCAAATACCGTATGATTTCCTTCATTAAGTAGTAGATAATAACAACAATAAACAAACACATAGGGACAGAGAGTGGATTGGTGGTTACCAGAGGGGAAGGGGGGAGGGAGGAGGGTGAAAGGGGTAATTCAGCACATGTGTGTGGTGATGGGTTGTAATTAGTATTTTGGTGGTGAACATGATGTAGTCCATGCAGAAATAGAAGTACAATGATGTACACCTGAAATTTTTACAATGTTATAAACCAATGTTACTGCAATAAACAAAAAAAAAAAAAAAAAAAAAAAAAAAAGAACAACCACGATGTATTTAGGCAAAAAATAGATAACGGATAAAGTTGACATAAGTATACATGCATACTTAACTGAAAACGTATCATCCAACAAAGTAGAAAAACTAAATTACTGGAATTTGCTTAGCTAAGAAAAAAAGAAGGATCAAGACAAAAGGTTATGTAATGGGGGATTTTCTGATAGTCTTGTTTTGCAGCAGATTGCACTCTCCAAAAATGACCACAATATCTCCTATGCCTCATGGTCCTTTTTACAATGTGACTAGATACTCCCATCGTTAAGAGATGGAGTCTAGGTTCCCTCTCCTTGAAACTGGGTGAACTTGTGACTACAGTGGAAATGATGCTATGTGATTGCTATGGCTAAGTCATAAAAGGGGATATGACTTTCGCCTGGTTCCTGGGACATTCACTCTTGGAACACAGCTACCGCCATGCGACAAAGTCCAAGCAGTCTACAAAAAGGAACTGAAGACACTGCCCAACAGTCCCAGCTGAGCTCCCAGCCAACTGCCAGCACCAACTTGCCAGCCATCTGAGTAAACCATTTTGAAAGTGGAGAGGCCCCAGTCAAGCGACTCCAGATGACACTGTATAGAGCATAGAAGCAAGATAAATGACTATTACTGTTTTAAGCCACTAAATTTTGCAACATCAGATAACCGAGTGAGATTCTGGGACCTGGAAGTAGGGTGTTGCCATAAAAAAAAAAATCTAAAATATGTGGCTTTGTCACTGGTACCAGGCAGATGGGAAGGGCTTTGAGGAAGCTGTTGGTCAGGGCTCAAAGGGAAGTTTTTAAAATGTTACTAGAAGCTGGAGGAAAGGGGAGCCTTCTATTCGTGGTAGAAAATTTGGCACAATAGTCATCTGTCATAATGTGGAAACTAGGAAATACCCTAATGATGTAGTTAAGAAGATTTCCCAGGCAGAATATTGGAAGTGTCACTGGCTCTCCTCATTGTCTATGATAAAATGCAAGAGGACAAAGACAAGCTAGCAACTTTCATTCAAGGGACGCAACTACAGAAATACTACCATCCTCAGAAGTTATCTCTGCACAGGCCTTTCCCAGAGAAAAATGCACTTTTTATGCCTAAATATCGGAAAGTT